TACTTTTAATTAAAATTTTAATTCTAACTAAAGTACAATTTTTATTTTTCTAATACACTTAATATTTGTAAATTCTTCTTCTAATAATTTACTATTCACCTACGCATATTCTTGTAATGCACGATACATATAATAGGCGATATTACAGCAAACGAGGCACGCTCGAAATAGATACACATAATTCTCTAATAAAGCAATAAATCTGGAGGGAAGATAATTGCTTTGACCCGTTGAAAGCAACACATTTATTAACAACCCGATTATGAGAGCAATGTTTCCCAATGTGTATCAAGTGCGACCCAATTCACACGTGCCTCACCGATGGACGTTTGTTTTGCATACAACGTAATTGTCTTACAAAAGAAGAACCATTTCGTGTAAGACGTCTAGAGCTTACCACGCTTTACACGATACGGCAACAATTCGGCTCTATTAGGCCAATAAAGTGTATCAAAGAAGAGGAATGCGCTCCGCGTCAATCGTAACGCCGGTTAGTCTGCTTGAGGATCATGCGGGGTGCGGGTGGATAACTCGTTTACGTTGGACCTGTACAATTTTATGTAATGGACACTTTGTGATGAGATTAGGAGACAAGTATATTGGAGACAAGTTTTGGAGACAAGTATGTTGGAGACAAGTATGTTGGCCATAGGTTTTCACTTGTAACTTTTGGATTTTTAAACATTAAACTTCTAAACCCATACATTTTCTGAACGTCTCCCGTATGCAATGATAGCAATAAGTAATATATTATGACATTAATATAGACATTATAGGATTGGCAACATCGTAGCTGAAGAAAGAAAATGTTGAACATCAAATTAACAATACAGAATTTGTCGGTCATCGAATATGTCCACATGCAAGAGCTTCTGTTCCTTCATTGAAAAAGTCACAACGAGTTCCTCAATTAGGATGCCAATACCGAGGTGTTAACCTAGAAGTGTTCATCATCATACAAGTGAAAAAAGAAAGTGAAACATTGAACTAAGATTTGAAATTTATCGGACGATGCAGAGAAGATGGACCAGAGGAATAACTTTCTCGCTCAGCACGAGCGTAGGATTAGCAGGTTAGATTAAGGATGTAGCGTTTGTTGTAGGCGCATAGATCACGATGATGACCCGTAACGAGTACGTGTCGAGCGACAGGGCGATCATATGGGTACAGGGTACACCAAACAGGAGTGATCCGAGTGAGCGAGTGACTGAGTGAGTCGGAGGTCGGAGGAGTATATTGGCCATTTCCGCAGGAAGCCCTAGGTAACCTGTAACCGCCATTGAGGTTGGAACTAACGTGCCACAGATCGCTGTCGTTTCATAACAAGCTGTTCTGAATTCGCCTGCTCATAATCTCGACGTGTTAATTGATTTGGTCGAAATCTTTGCTGCCCTCGCTTAGGAGAAAGTTGCGGCACCTGAACTTTTATGCCGGCCTTTATGCTGAATCAACTTTCGTCTTTTTGATAGATATCTTCTTTGCATTCTTAGGACAAACTGTACCTGGTGTGCTGCTGTGATTTCAAATCTCTAATACTTCAAATCTTAAAATTTTTTAATTTTTAAGTCTTCAATTTGTTAGACATGTGATTTCAAATCTCTAATTAATTTCTTACATTAAACCTCTATAATAATTTCTCTTGATCCTCTCTCTTAATTCCATAACCTCCTGTATGCATACCCCAATGCATCTATAATAATATAAAATCTTCAAATTTTTTCATTTTTAAGTCTTCAATTTGTTAGACATGTGATTTCAAATCTCTAATACTTCTCAATCTTCAATTTTTTTAATTTTTAAGTCTTCAATTTGTTAAACTTTTTTTAGTACAAAAATTAATAATTTCTTACATTAAACCTCTATAATAATTTCTCTTGATCCTCTCTCTTAATTCCATAACCTCCTGTATGCATACCCCAATGCATCTATAATAATATAAAATAATAATAAATTGAAGAATGTATTTTTCTTAAACATAATATACATCAACTTGTGCTATTTCTTTCTGTTAGATGACATGCCATGACGTACCTAAGGAAAGAATTCCAGCAACTTCTGGAACTGCTGAAGAATGGGGAACAAAATGGACGCAGTGTCACGTAATGGGTATACTATTCGCGCCGGCTAAAATGGATCTAATAAATAAAATTAAAGGGTACAAATATTTATCAGATGTGCTATAAGTTGCTCATGCATACATGTTCACAAGATGTACAAATTATCAAATTTAGAGTAAATATAAATATTCACAAAATGCAGTATCTGAGTGGATATAAATATGTAGAAAAATTTTGAAATAAATGAGTGTAAACAGTACAATTTATACTTTTTAATAAACTTTAAGTTGTCCTTATAACTTGTTTCATGTTCCATAATATGCAGCTGTAAGTTCAATACCTTCAAAATACACAAATTGAGAGTTTCCTTAAGAATTTAAAAAACACAACCCTTGAAGTAACACGTGGAAGACTTTCAGCAGAAAAGGTAATAATACTTGCAAGACTTTTAACCTTATACTTAATACTGTTTTAAGAATATTACTAGAAAATTTATTACCGAGTTATTACAAGTTTTAAAAATCGAATGTTATATTAGTAAAAGGAAGTGCATGATTCGTGTAATATTTTGTTTGGGTGGGTCTTAGGAGCTCGCTCGGTCTAATTGTAAATCCCGGTCTGAATGTAAAGACCCATGCGATCGAATAGATATGCGTTGGCGTCGAAGAATGGATTTCTCTCGGGTCATCGAAAAGAAAGAACCGATGCGTGGCTCCATGGCTGACAATGGTAACACAAATAATACAGAGCGACTCTTGTCGTCCGCAGATTTAATCTGACGAAATGAATCATCGTTTTGAGTTGAACACGGTTGGCTAAGGAATAGCACGAAACAAACAATTAGGAGAGAATGGCGCGACGGTGTGGTCGACTTTATTATTACAAAACGAAATGCACCACTGCGATGATTATTGTTTGTATCTTGAGAGTATTGTAATACTTGCGTGGGTGGAGAAATTTTTGGGAAAAGTTTGTTGTTTGGGAAATTGATATATGTGGGAGAGTTGAAGAAGTGGAAACGTTGAGAAGTAAGGAAAAATGAAAGATTTGAAAGTAGAAGGATTTGAAGATTTGTGGATGTGGAAATTTAGGTTTTTAGAAAAGGTATTTGAGAACGTGGAAATTGGGAAAGTTGGAAATTTAAATTTGTAGAAAATTTGGAAACATTGAAATTGGGAACCCTAGAAATTTAAAATAGAGAATAAAAAATTTGAAAGCGTGGAAAGTTGAGAATTTAAGAATTGAAAATTTGGGACTATACAAATTTTAAAACGTGTAAAAATTCAAAGCTTAAGTAATTAGAAAATGTGAAAAAATTTGTAGAAAATTAGAAAATTTGGAAACCTTGAAATTAGGAACCCTAGAAATTTAAAATAGAAAATAAAAAATTTGAAAGCGTGGAAAGTTGAGAATTTAAGAATTGAAAATTTGGGGCTATAAAAATTTTAAAACGTGTAAAAATTCAAAGCTTAATAAATGTGAAAAACAATACAGAAGAATTTTATTCGTGTTCCTTTGTTAAAAAGTCGAAATTCCAGTTTAGGGTGTCCCCTCAACATAAGGTGTTATAGGGGTGTCAAAATGAAGCGTGTGTACAGAAATTTTTAGAGAGTATGCATTCTTTTTTCCGGTCAGAAACGTCAATATAGATATTAGTATTCGTTTGAAGCTCCGCTTCAAATTTGCTTTGTTCCATCCGACCTAATGCGAGAGAAGAGGGTAGTTGACTTAACGAAGTGATCTTCAGCCAATGTATAATTCAAATTCAACCCAGTATTGTTGTACATAATGTTCACTTGTACGAGCATGATGAAGACACAAATTTAATAAATTAAATAAAAAAAAAAATTTGAAATACCTTTTTTTTGCAATTTGTCTTTTATTGTATTAATCTTCAGATTCATAGTCTTGACATTTAGAAACTGACCTATGTTAGTTGATATAATAGACGTGCATTTATGGTAGGATATATGTAGTAGGATTTATAATAGGAAGTTTGAATGCATATGCACTAGCAGAGGACATGGTATTGATGAAAGGAAAATAGGCTTTTTGTTCACAAATAGAGGTTATTAATTTTAGAGTGTGTTAGGTTGTTATTCAATGTTTGAATGAGATGGACATTTCTTGATAGGAAAAAAGATTTGGGTTTGAGGATTATTTCCTAATAAAAATTTGGTTCACCCCAAGTTCCCAAATTCCACAAATTCCAAATTCCACAAATTCCAAATTCCACAAATTCCAAATTCCACAAATTCCAAATTCCACAAATTCCAAATTCCACAAATTCCAAATTCCACAAATTCCAAATTCCACAAATTCCAAATTCCACAAATTCCAAATTCCACAAATTCCAAATTCCACAAATTCCAAATTCCACAAATTCCAAATTCCACAAATTCCAAATTCCACAAATTCCAAATTCCACAAATTCCAAATTCCACAAATTCCAAATTCCACAAATTCCAAATTCCACAAATTCCAAATTCCACAAATTCCAAATTCCACAAATTCCAAATTCCACAAATTCCAAATTCCACAAATTCCAAATTCCACAAATTCCAAATTCCACAAATTCCAAATTCCACAAATTCCAAATTCCACAAATTCCAAATTCCACAAATTCCAAATTCCACAAATTCCAAATTCCACAAATTCCAAATTCCACAAATTCCAAATTCCACAAATTCCAAATTCCACAAATTCCAAATTCCACAAATTCCAAATTCCACAAATTCCAAATTCCACAAATTCCAAATTCCACAAATTCCAAATTCCACAAATTCCAAATTCCACAAATTCCAAATTCCACAAATTCCAAATTCCACAAATTCCAAATATTCCACAAATTCTAAATTCTCCAAATTCCAAATTCCACAAATTCCAAATTTCTCAAATTCCAATACTCTCAAATTCCCAAATTCCCCAAATTCCAACACTCCCAATTTTCCAAATTCTCCAAACTCCAAATTTCTCAAATTCCAAATTCCCCAAATTCCAAATTCCCCAAATTCGAAATTCCCCAAATTCCAACACTCCTAAATTCCCAAATTCCCCAAATTCCAACACTCTCAAATTTCCAAATTCCCCAAATTCCAACACTCCCAATTTTCCAAATTCTCCAAACTCCAAATTTCTCAAATTCCAAATTCCCCAAATTCCAAATTCCTCAAATTCCAAATTTCTCAAATTCCAACACTCTCAAATTCCCGAATTCCCCAAATTCCAACACTCCCAATTTTCCAATTTCTCCAAATTCTAAATTCTCCAAATTCCAAATTCCCAAATTCCCAAAATTCCACCTTGTAAATTTCCAAATTCCCAAAATTCCACCTTGTAAATTTCCAAATTCCAAAATTCCATCTTGTAAATTCCCAAATTCCCAAAATTCCACCTTGCAGATTCCAAACTCCCAAAATTCCACCTTGCAACTTCCACCCCTCCCATCTCCAAAATCCCCAATTCCCAAATTCCTACATCTCCCCCTCCGCAACTCCACAAGCACCCAAAATTCCCACTTCCCCTGCCCCAAAAAAAGCCACTAAAAATCCTCCATCGAAGTCCCCATATCATCTTCGTGTACCTGAAAGACAGCGTCAGCCAGTTGAAACGGCACGTGCGAATGCATGAATGAAAGTTTACGAGGATAGTAAGAACAGGTCAATCTGCCAATTGACCAGTTGGTTGGACCCGCACGAAGGTTCAGATCGTTCCTGCCTGTCTTCAGACATCCACAAGTACGATATACACGCTTTCGTGCGGAGTATACGTAGTATACCAGCAGCACCGGAGGGAATTGGTCAAGCAGAGTGCAACAGATAAGGGTGCCCATGGTGGGGGATAGTTGACTCTCTAGTGGCTATTCGGAGTCAGTTGCTCTTATGGTTGCCAGACATTAACAACAACCACGCCGGGCTGTTGCAGTGCGAGCCTCGTGACTCGAACGTCACAGGTGATTCGAAATATTTTCGAACTCGAATTCTTGCACCTGGTCATCCTCTCGTGATACACGTTATTCGATTAAAAAGGTGCTATACTTGCTGTCGCACAGTGGATTCTATCGGTTACAATTAATAGTGAAACTGGAATTGATTGGACATTTGAGACTGGATGATACGAGTACCTTGATGATACCTGAAGAAGTTTTTAAAAGGAGTATCGAAGAAGTGTGTGATATTTGACAGAGTGCGCGAGTGACGGTGAAGAAACAGTAATTCAAAGTTTCTGTTGAGCTATCGATGTGGAAGAATGTGGAAGGTTTAAGTTCGCCGTTGAAATCGTGGAGGTTTTACGGATCGAGAGAACAATGACGATCGACGGATAAAAATATTGCGGCAGAAAATTCAGAGGAGGGTGATCGAGGGCTCGTTTCGGGGGGGTTGTGGATATTATGTTAGCAAAGGGATTATGCGTGATTTTGAAGGTGTTGGCGTTGGCGGGAAGCGTCTCGGCGTTTCTGCCGGAGGACCTCGAAGATCGAACTGTTCCTGCCAATCTTCAGGAAGAATGCGCCTCGAAATGTCCGGACCTCGATTTGAATCAGGTAAATTTATTTTTTAGAAAATTCTTTATTCTAACATTTCTTATATTTATTGGGTGAAATGGCATTTAGAAAGTTTTCTTGGAGTTTCACTGGGAGATCTTGATTTTAAGGAACTCTGTTAGATTCTGAACTTTATTGCTGACATTTTTTATTATAAATTATACTGTACTTTGTGCTGTTAAGTATTTATTATCAACTTTGTGATATTTTAAAATGAGATTAAGTACATGGTATAACAATGTAAATAAACATTGAGTACCTAGTATAACAATGTAAATAAACATTGAGTACCTAGTATAACAATGTAAATAAACATTAAGTACCTAGTACTATAATGTAAATAAACATTAAGTACCTAGTACTACAATGTAAATAAACATTAACTTAATATAAACATTACAATGTTTATCAATAAAATTAAGAACTCACGTTGCAATATTTTTACTTGATGAAATCAATTGCAAGTGGTTTTCAACTTTAACAAATGTTTACTTTTCAAAAATTCAGGAGGTTCTTTGTAAAACGAGAAAAAGAAGAAACCCGAGTGATAATTTATGTCAATTTCGTTACAGAGGTGACAGATTATTTATGTGAACCTGATATTCGTTTATCTCGACAAAAATTTTGACCAAATCACCGTGAGTAAATCAAAAAGAAGTAAGATACGATTTTGGTAGTATTTTATCATCTTTTTTAGAGATACGTGTAACATAATTATATACCCTTATTGTGAAAGTATTGATAGATAAAAGTTACGTATGAGACCATGATTTTAATGCTTGAATACCAGATGAATTATGGTGTAAACATTAGGATGATTCGATTCAAAGGTTCTTGAAAATATTCTGATAAAACGGAAGACATAGTTTATGTGTAACACGTAGTCTATAGTTTAGAAAATCAAATTAAATTTGACCCTTGTGATTGTAGTGATTTGACCCTTAAAATGTGAACATTATAAACTTCAATTTAGAAAGGTATTCAAGGTTACTTAAACTTCTTTTCAACAGTAAAAATATATGGAAATTTTCAATCTAGAACTTTTATCTAGCGAGCAAAAATTTATCAAGACGAGTAGCAGAAAAAGTTCCAATAAAAAAAACATGGCGACCAGTATCGAATTATGAAAACTACGAGCCACTAAATCGGCCGTGAAATAGACACTGATTTTTCCACGCAGTATTTTCATCACACGCGTCGAACTTGACTGTTTACAGCAATAAATAATTGCAATCGCCGAGAAATTTCTTTATCGCGGCGGTTCCTTGCAAAGAGGTCAACGCGAAACGTGGCAGAAATCGATGATCGTCTCCCGTCTTTTTCCGGGAGGTGTCTTCATTTCAATTTGGCGTATCGCACGTGGCTCATTTGTCAGCGTCGAATTTTTTCTACGAGCTAATCTGCGATTACGAGAAACGAGAAAAAATAAACGATCTGCGATTTATTGGAAGTAGCGAGAAGCGTTTTCGAAGCGAGGCGAGCGTGGCACAAAAATGGCTCCACACGAAGGACGTATCAATTTAAGTCCACTCTCCATCCCGACTATACCATTCATTAATTAACTTAACTACACGACGGCGCATCATCGCAGTCCATAAGCACGGTCTCGAGGATGAAAGACGAGTTGTAACGGATACAGGAGCTTCGTGTTACTTCGTTTTGCCTTTTTCTTGCTCGGAAAATCGATCTTACATCTTGTTATGAAGGTACACGATGGTATTCGAACGGAAGGGTAGTTTTGAGCTCTCTGTTTTTAGTTTGTTCAAAACGAATATTTAATGAAACTCATAGAGAAACTAAGACTGTATATTTTAAACCGTTTGTTATGGAAAATAAAAAATATTTGTTTGTTGACAAATGACGAGAGTATTTTAATTTATCTTTCAGAACTAAAAGAGGAGATAATACAGTTGTTTATTAGCCTACATTTTACTGTGTATTTTCATAACAGTTTATAGAGTTATTTTTTACCTTCAACTATATTAATTTATTAATATAAATTGGGGCAAACTTTTGATAATGTATAAATGACATTAAAATATCACATCTCGCTGAAAGTAGCTTCAAGGTTCTTTATTATAGCTTCAATAACTGAGAATGCACATGGTATTCCATTTTAATCTGTCCACATTATCTGCATTGTTTTATAAAAAATTCTTCAAACTATTTTTCTATTTTTTACTCTTTTTAAAATTCTATGTAAAAATGTATTAAATTCTTGGTTTATTTAAATGAAAAAATCACACATGTTTAAACTGATTGAATAAATTTATTTGTATTAAATAAACACTTGCACCACTTAATAAATGCAAATACATTTTCTCTGTTTTACTCTTCTTAAAATTCTATGTAAAAATGTATTAAATTCTTGGTTTATTTAAAAGAAAAAATCACACATGTTTAAACTGATTGAATAAATTTATTTGTATTAAATAAACACTTGCACCACTTAATAAATGCAAATACATTTTCTCTGTTTTACTCTTCTTAAAATTCTATGTAAAAATGTATTAAATTCTTGGTTTATTTAAAAGAAAAAATCACACATGTTTAAACTGATCGAATAAATTTATTTGTATTAAATAAATGCTTGCACCACTTAATAAATGCAAATACATTTTCTCTGTTTTACTCTTTTTAAAATTCTATGTAAAAATGTATTAAATTCTTGGTTTATTTAAAAGAAAAAATCACACATGTTTAAACTGATTGAATAAATTTATTTGTATTAAATAAATGCTTGCACCACTTAATAAATGCAAATAAATTTTCTCTGACATTTTTTAATTATGTGAGAGCTCTGGTCAATCAAAATTTGCGTTAAAAATTATAATAAATATGACTGCACGAGGGCGTAGCGTTTACAGCGAAACTTGTTGCACTCTCCTTTCGGTTTCCTTTTTCTCAGTACTCTCCGGCCGGTACAAAGATTGAATGAGAAGATTGAAAGGATGCATCAGGAGAGATGAACGGAACAAAAGGCGGTCTGGTGAAATGATTAAACCGATCCTTTCGTGAAGAGTTAAATTGATAATTGCTGCCAATTTTCGTTCACGCCAATTGCCGAAGACACATATTACGAGCTTCTTATCCAGTTCACACGAGACCACGGGAACCTTATCGTGTCCACAGAAATTCTTCAACCCGTCATCAAAGCGGAAAAATAATCCATTTATTTTAATTTTTAAATATAGCGGTTTATCAACTGTTCCCTGAAGTTTTAATTATCCACCAGTTAGATAAAAGAAATTATGGGTCTAGAAATCAATTTTCTGTCCCTTATCTTCTCTTCGTTTCTTACTGTCTTCTTTTTTTGGGCAAGTTCGAAGGGCAAGGGAAACAGTTAAGGACGATAAGATTCCAATGTTTTCGATGATACACAAAAAACTAGGATTTATAAAAATCTACGGACATTCGTGTTTACGATACAGTTGGCGTACAAACGGCGCCCGATTTGGTAAACACGAATAGTAACTGAGTCGTGTTATCTCGAGGTGATGCCTAGGATGACCCTAGTTGCATAATCACCACGATCAGTTCTCTAAACTTTGTTGCTGGTCCGTTACGCTTTGGATCTCTGTACATCGCCATGAACCTATTCGATAAATTGCTCAACATCCACACAATTATATTTCATACAGAAAAGAATCGACGCAAATATTAATGCAGACCGTGCTTTAAAATCAGGCGGGAAATTTAAAATTTTAGGGAGAAGCTTGTAGAGAAATTTATTTACAACTCTTCGTTATAGAAAATTGTAATTGTAGTATAGCATGTACTTCTTTATTGTAGTATATTATGCACATTCCAAATGTGAAGATAGAGGTGTATCAAAGTCGCAATATAGCATACATGTACTGTGATGTGTATGTGTGGTGATGACACGTGGTCATGCAATGTACGATGATATAACATATGACATATGTGTACATATGAGTGTGTATGATTTACATATGCGTATACATATGTGTATGTATAATTTACATATGTGTATACATATGAGTATGTAGAATTTATATATGTGTATACATATGAGTATGTGTAATTTACATATGTGTATACATATGAGTATGTAGAATTTACATATGTGTATACATATGAGTATGTAGAATTTACATATGTGTATGCATATGAGTATGTATGATTTACATACGTATACACATATGAGTATGTACAATTTAGATACATATACACATATGAGTATGTATGATTTACATATGTGTATACATATGAGTATATATGATTTATATATCTGTATACATATGAATATGTATGATTTACATATGTGTATACATATGAGTATGTACAATTTACATATGTATACACATATGAGTATGTACAATTTACATACATATGCACATATGAGCATGTACAATTTACATACATATACACATATGAGTATGTACAATTTACATACATATACACATATGAATATGTATAATTTACATACTCGACATGTACCATCCATAGCTACTTATATTAAATACCTCCTTAAATTAAAATATACATACAATTGCTTTTATCTCAATTCTGTTTAAATGAAAAAAGTACACAATTCGTTTTAATAAAAATCTTATTGTTCGTAGAATTAATTTACAAAACACGTACACACACGTGTTAAATTTTCATAGAATATGTATGACAATGAACGTCGGACTCGAAATTCCACGATTTCAACGTAGAATTTTTCCCTTTAATTGAAAAATAATTACATAAACGTCTCGTGTAATGGATCTCCGCCCACGCGTTAACCTACATACGATTTCGTTCTGCGTGGACGCAGAGCTGCAGCCATAACCGAACGATCGCGTGGTTTCATACCTGTAAGGATTCGAAATTAACCTGCAGAATTCCGAGTTGGATCACGACGAAACTACGTAGTATCTCCAGGATCGTTGGACGTGCAATATTATATGTGTAGCCGTATACAATGAACTTCCTGCCGGCCACATCCTCTCACCTACAGCCCAGCCTCGTGACTTGCTACGGGTTCACCTCGA